TACTACTACTACTACTACTACTACTACTACTACTACTACTACTACGACCACTACAAAAAGACATCCAACGGTGCCTTTTTTTCAATGCGCGGCCACAGAAAGGTCCCGAGCCCTTCCCTAGGGCCAGCTTTTCGCTCCGGGTCCGTCTCTGATGGTCCCAAGCCGACCACGGGCCCCGCAAGCCGAAATCAAAGAAAAACGCCCTGATTGAAAGAATCACACCCCTGAGACCCGACGATGCGAAAAAAATGAAACACCGCGAAACATCACAACCAAAGCCACTGGAGCCCATCATTTTGCACAATGCTCCTGGCGGGATCGATCCGTGACGAGCCACGCCCGACGTGAAAAAATTGCAACGCCCAGATCTGAACGTTTTTTTGTTCAACAATGAGCAACAATCAAAAAAATCTCCGGGGCGGCCGCGGTTCCCGACGATGCTTCCGTTATGTTCGCCGCGACGGCCTTCAGGGGCGGCGGCGCGCCCAGTGGGGGAAGCGCGAGGGGGCGGGCCCTCTCAGAAGGCTCAGGAGGCCCCCCAGTCTTCTGAGAAATGCTCTGAGGCATCCCCGAAGACGCAGGACACCGCTCAGAGGGCGCGAGGGCTTCCGGGAAGCCGCGCCGCCTTCTGAGAAGCCGCCCCCCCCTCTCTGAGGAGGCTGGCCTCCTCAGAAGGCCGAAATCGCGCGACGTCGGGCCAGCGTGGAAAGAAGCAGCGCCCGGATCTCAGGGAGCACCTCCCGCGGCGAGTTTTCACGGCGCGCGGACGTCGGGGCTGGGCCTGCGACCGCCATCGCGGGTGGCCCGCCGCCACGCGATCCAGGACCACCAACAAACTGCACCAAACTAACATTCCTTCTCCTACTCCTTCTCCCCCTCCTCCGCCTCCCCTTCCTCCCTCCTCGATCCGCTCTCCTCCCTCCTCCCTCCTCCCTCCTCCCTCCTCCAACCTACTCCCTCCTCCCTTCTCCCTCCTCCCTCCTCCCTCCTCCTCCCTCCTCCTCTTCTCCTCCCCTCCTCCCCGGGCCCAGGACGGGCCTGGCCGGGAGCGGTGCACGGGCCTCCGAGAAACTTTGTGCTTGCGACGTTCTCGGGAGGCCTCCAGGATGGGGTCCGAGCACCTGGGGTCGGAGGATCGCGCCGCATCGCGGATGCCTCGGCAATGCATCGCCGATGCATCGCCGACGTCGGCGATGCATCTGCAACGTCGGCGTGGAGAAAGTCGGGCTCCACATCGAGCCGCAGCGTCGGTGCATCTGCGATGCGGCGCGATCCCCCAACCCCATCTAACATCAGGCAGCAATTAACGAACCCCACTGGGTGATCGCGTCGACCGCCCCCCTGGATCTATGGATTCTCATGGGGTCCTCCCTCCTTCCTCCTCCTCTTTTTCTATGTCCTCCTCACCCCCCCCTTTCGCCTCCTTGTCTCTTTCTCCTCGCCACCCCTGCCCTATACGAACCCTATTACAAGCCCCAGTTAGAAGTTCATGATCGTCGGCCGTCCTAGAGGGTGATCCACCCCAGGATATCGCCCCCGCCCTTCACGGAACGTTATCTTCACACTTGGGAACGCCCAGATAATTCCCGTCCGCGATTTAGCTGTGAATAGACTGAATAAAGGCAGTAGTGGCGTTAGCACTACTACTACTACTACTACTACTACTACTACTACTACTACTACTACTGCTACTACTACTACTACTACTACTACTACTACTACTACTACTACTACTGCTACTACTGCTACTGCTACTGCTACTGCTACTGCTACTGCTACTGCTACTGCTACTGCTACTGCGACTGCGACTACTACTACTATTTACATATGTTTTTACTACTATCTACTACTACTACTACTACTACTACTAACTACTACTACTACTACTACGACTCTACTACTACTACTACTACTATACTTACTATTCTAATAACTTCCTGCTGTACTATCTTACTTTTCTACTACTTACTACTTTACTTTTTCCTTTTTTACGTTAATGATCAGACCATATACACTACTACTACTACTACTACTACTACTACTACTACTACTACTACTACTACTACTACTACTACTGCTACTGCTACTGCTACGGCGACTACTACTACGACTACTCAGGATACAAATGCGAAAACTAGCACAAATACGCGCAATAGTAGTGTTGGACTAAGAAGAAGAAGAATTCGCAATATCAGTAGTAGTAATGATAATACAAATAGTGATGATAAGACTACGGTTTGCTTCTACGGCGACGACGACGACGGCGACCACTACGACTACTCCTACTTCTACTTATACTTCTTCTGCTTCTTCTACTACTACTACTACTACTACTACTACTACTACTACTACTACTACTACTACGACGCCTACTACTACTACGCCGGCCACTACTGCTACGACTACTGATTATACTACTACTACTACTACTACTACTACTACTACTACTACTACTACTACTACTACTACTACTACTACGACTACGACTACTACAACAACAACTGCTACTACTACTCGTTCTTACTTTACGATAATACTACTACTAACTACTACTGCATTCTACACTACTACGACTACTATACTACTACTACTACTACTACTTACCTATTACTACTACTACTACGACTACCTTACTACTACTACTACTACTACTACTATATTATACTACTACTACTACTACTACTACTACTACTACTACTACGACTACTACTACTACGACTGCGACTACGACTACTACGACTACGACTACGACGAATCGCAGTAACAGTAAGTAGTAGTAGCAGTAGTAGTAGTAGTCGTAGTAGTAGAAATAATAAAAGTAGTTGTAGTCATCACAATCGTAGTCGTGGTCGTAGTCGTAGTCGTAGTAGTCATAGCAAAAAAAAAGTACTACAACGACAACGACTACTACTCCTACTACTACTACTACTACTACTACTACTACTACTACTACTACTACTAATACTACTACTACTACTACTACTACTACTACTACTACTACTACGACTACCACTACTGCTTCTACTACTACTACTTCTTCTTTTTCTACTAGTACTTCTACTGTTACGACGACTACTACTACTACTACTATTACTACTACTACTACTACTACTACTACTACTACTACTACTACCACCACTACTACGACTGCGACTGCTACTACGACTACCACTACGACTACTACTACGACTACTACTACTACTACTACTAACTAGTTTTTTTTTGGGTACAACTACTTCTTCTTTCTACTGCTACGACTACTATTGCGACGGCGACTACTACGACTACACTACTACTACTAACCTTACTACTACTACTACTACTACTACTACTACTACTACGACTACGACTACTACTACTACTACTACTACTACTACTACTACTACTACTACTACTATTCTACCACTACTACTACAACAACTACTACTACAACGACTACTACTACTACTACGACTACTACGACAACTATGACGACTACTACTACTACTACTACTACTACTACTACTACGACTACTACAAATACGACGGCTACTACTACTACTACTACTACTACTACTACTACCACTACTGCTACTACTATAGCTGCTGCTGCTGCTGCTACATGTACTACTACTACTACTACTACTACCACTACTACTACTACTACTACTACTACTACTACTCCAACTAC